AAGTATTTCAGGTTTGTTGAGACACTGCCCTTTGAATCTTGGCACATCTACATTTTTTTGTGTGTGTGTCAACGTGTTGGATACGAAACATTTGTTACAAAAGCTGCTGCAAGCGATTGGGCTGATTGCATTTGTTTTGCAACCTCTTTTTGAATTTCCTTTTGAATAAATAGAGTTAATAACTTTTCATCAATATCATTTCTTGATTCCACTAGTTGCGCTCTACTTGATATAGCCGTCAAACAGGTTGATCCATTGCTTGACAATCATATCACTCCAGCTTCTGTATTTAAAGAGATTTCCTGCTTAGACTCTTCCACAGCTTGCGGCCCAGACAACATACCTGTAATAGTCTTGCAGAAGTGTTCCCCAAAGCTGTCGTCTATCCTTTCAAAACTATTCAACAAATGCTTATCAGAGTCTTGTTTTCTAGCCTGCTGGAAAGCAGCATCTGTTATCCCTATTTTTAAAAATTCTGGAAAACGATCCGATTCGTCAAACTACCGTCCCATCAGTCTTCTTCCTATCACAAGCAAGGTTTTTGAATCTTTAATTAACAAACACTTAATCTCTTATCTTGAATCTAACAACTTACTTTCAGATCATCAATATGGATTTTGATCTTCTCGTTCTACGGCTGATTTGCTAACAGTAATAATCGAAAGGTTTTATCGCACATTAGATAAAGGTGGAAAGGTTAAGGCCATCACTCTCGACATTTCTAAAGCGTTTGATAAAGTTTGGCATGCTGGTCTTCTCCATAAGCTTTCTTCTTACAGTGTATCTGGAAACATCTTTAAGATTATTGAATCCTTCCTTTCCAATCGTAGTATAAAAGTTGTCCTTGATGGACAGCACTTTTCTTATTCTGTAATCTCAGGGGTTCCATAAGGTTCAATCCTTGGCCCTATACTTTTTTTAATTTACATTAACGATCTTCCAGATATTCTCACATCTAAGGTGGCATTGTTCGTCGATGATACTACCATTTATTCTTGTCACAATAAGAAGCCAACTCCCTCTGATTGCTTGCAGGGGGCATTTGAGCTTGAAAAGAATCTCACTTCTGCTACAGCATGGGCTCATAGTGGCTGGTGAACTTTAATTCAGATAAAACTCAATTTTTTTTAGCCAATCGTTATCGCAATAATTTAGACCTTCCTATATTTATGAACAGTAATGTACTCGATGACTTATCTACCCTTCATCTTCTAGGATTAACTCTTACTTCTGATCTTTCTTGGAAACTTTGTATCAAATCTGTTGCAAAATTAGCATCTGCTAAAGTTGCATCTCTTTATCGAGCTCGTCACTTTCTTACTCTGGATTCTATTCTCTATTTCTATAAATCTCAAATCCGGCCTTGTATGGAATACTGTTGCCATATCTGGGGCGGATCTTCAAATGATGCCTTTTCTCTTTTAGACAAGGTGCAATAACGCATTGTAAACATAGTTGGACCTGCTCTTGCAGCCAACCTTCAATCTTTGTCACATCGCGTTTGTTTCGTATTCGTCTCTTAACATGGAAAATTAAAAAACTAACAAAATTGACAAATACAAGTTTTCAAGCAATTCCTTTCCAATTCCCATTTATTCAAAGAAAAGTTACAATTGAACTTTAATTTCTCTGATGTGAAAAAAAAACAAGTGACGCAAAAAAAAATATTCTATACAACTCTTATTCATTTAGAGTTTAACTAGGTGAAACTTTTCTTTCTATATTGCTCTACTTTTTTTATAAAAAGAGCACGCGATGAAATAAAAACTTTTCTTTCTTAAAATAGAATTAAAAGATAACATAAACTTAACATAATTTTAAAGATAACATAAACTTAAAGATAAAATTAAATTAGAAATAAATCAACAATGAGTAGAGCAACTAACAGTCCAATCTGGGACTACAGTCCAATCTGGGACTTGATATTGATGCAAATAATCAACATAAACAACATAAACAACAACAATAATCAAATAAACAACACAATATTGCATAATTTTAGGGGATTTTTATTTACTGTATAGTAGTTTTAAATAATAAGTAAATTTAGTTGAAGTTAAAATTTTAATACTATAATTGCAATATAATAAAAAAAAGTTGTTTAATATTGAACTTTTTATTAAGTTATTTATTTTTTTACCTACATTTGTTATAAAAAAACTTTAGTACCCGGCTAAAACAACAAGATCAGTTTTTCTCGGTATGCATCATTATTTATTTTTAATCAAAAAAGCTTGGTTCAAACTTTTTTTTTTAACATTATGTTAAATATGAACACAAAATGTGTTGGGAGATTGGATCCCTTTAATGTAATTTAAATTCAAAAGTGCTTTACATTGAATGAAAATCTCCACGAAAAAGAGCAAATGATCATTCTATTCAAAATATAAATTTAGTGTGATGTACTTTATAACAAAAACATTAGGCTGAGTGAATAAAAAAAGCAATTGCTTTTACTCAGTAATTGGTCAGCTTTACCTGAATAAAAATTTTACCAAATTTGCATAATTGCAAAACAAAAAAAAACTTTACTAAATTTGCAAAATATTCACATAAAGCTGACCAATTACTGAGTAAATAATTACTTTTAAGAATTGCCGAAAAAATGCTAAATTAGAAAAAAAGTAACTAAACAACCAAAAAAAAAAAAAAAAAAAATATTTTCGTTAAGAAAATACTAGTTGTGAAAATATTTAAAAAAAAAAAAAACTAATCGCGAAGGTGTGAAAAGCAATCATGATATGCCTTATTAGAGCCCTGATTTAAGTAGGCTATGATAATACCTTCAATGATTTTGAACATCATAGATAAAGTATGTACACAGGTATGAGGAAGGGGGTATTCAAAAATGTAAGAATGTTTATAAGGGAGGGTGGGGTAGGGTCTAAGACAGCAAGTCAGGCTTAGTCGGGAAGCGGGTGCAATCGCACTCGATAATTAACCACAGAAATAATATTTAATTGCGAAAAACGGCCAGATTTTTTAATTGTTTTGAGAACATTTAAATTTATGTTGGTTTCCTTAAATAAGTTCATTATTTTATTGTAAATTTTGTTTTATGGACATACATGGAAGCATACATAAACTCAAATGTTCTCAAACATCTTTGTGCGGAAAATAAAAAAAGAATATTTACCAAACACCAAATCTATGACTAATGCTATTGGTTCAAAAAATACTAACCGAAATTTCTAGAGTATTCTGTTGAAATATTTTTAAAAATTGTATTATTTGAGTTTTGTTATGTTTTCGTTGAGATTTTTAGCATAAATTGTTTTAAGAATATACTATCAAACGAACTATTATTTTAATTCTCGGAGCCACATCTACAAAGCTATAAATGTTTTAAACTAACATTATTTGTTTATAAAAATAAATGTTTTAAATTTATCTTTTTTAACTTGTCAACATTTTGTAAATATATTATAGGTTTTATTAGTATATTCTTATTTTTATATAATGGATGTATTTTTTATGTATGTAATGTATTTTTTATGTAATGTATTTTTATGAATGTGTTTTTTGTGCATTTAATTTTATGTATGTGTATTTTATTCATATGTAATCTTTTAAAGCAATTTGTGCGATTGATTTTGTAAACAAAAATACTTTCAATAATAACTGCGTTTTTAATGAAATTATTAATAATCATTAAAGTTAATACAAATAACTTTAACCACTAATCAATTTTCCTCAGTGTACCCGATAACTGATTCTTTACCCCAAGAAAGAAAAGTTTTTAAGTTCTTAGAAATTGGTTTACTAACTTTACTTATTTTTGCTTCAGCCATTCTTACAAACTCGTTATACTCAAACTTAAAGTTACTTTTTTCTGTTTTAAATACTAATTAAAATTATAAAGCCCACTTATTAAACATCTTGAGCGTTATTGTGAAGCAGTTCCGCTTCCTCCTCACATAGTAATTTAACGTTTTTAGTTTATTTCTATTTAGCTAATTGAATTTCTGCAGTAACTCAATGATTTAATTATTTCATTTGTTCATCTTACTAAGGAAAATTGTTTCAAATGTGTTAAACTTTTCAAACTACACGAAGCATAAAATAGTTATTGAAAAAACTTTTTTATTTATAAATAAATCATCTAGCGTTAGTTTTATTGGTTGAATCTTGTTGGACTTTTCAGGGCAAAGGACTGCATTATTTTGGCAGCCTTTTTAATGCGCCACAGCGTAAAAATGACTAAAAAAAATACCGAATGGTCCTCTTGACTATTTCGCGGCCCCCAACATTGTGAGTCTTGAGGCTATAGCCCTTCTACTCCCCCCCTACCTCCTCAATCTAGCACTGGAAATAAGACATAAATATATAAATAAAAATTATATATATTCTTTGATAAATCGAAGAACATTTGTTTCCTAATTAAACAATCATTAATAGTATTTTGTTGCTTTATACAAAAAATGTCACTTAATTTTATTAAAAAAATTATAAAAGAGCGACGTTTCAAAAATATTTGCTCTAATCATATTTATTTTGCTTAAAGTTTTTTAGTGTCTTTTTTAACTGTCTCTTATCGGTCCAGTTAATCTTGTTGCGCTTTTTAGTTTGTTTTTAAAATTTTCTCAAAACGACTTAAAAATCTGGCCGGCTTTTCGCAACTAAATTTATTTCCGTGGTCAATTATCGAGTGCGATCACACCCGCTTCCCGACCAAGCTTGCAAGTGTGTATGAGGTTTAACTTTATCTTGCTCTGTATCTCTCATAAAACCTGTTTTTGTAACAAATTTCTTTTTTTTCAAACAAAAAATTGAATTTCCCAAGTTTAGAAAGTCAATATAACTTTGTGTAAAAGAGAAATGTTGAATAAACATTTATAGGTTCTAACTGCATTTTACTGTGTACATATATTATGGATGCCTCTTTATCTAACTGAGGATGTCAAGTACTTGACTTGTTAATGTTAAAACTTGAATGTTGTGTTAAATAAAGAACATATTTAAAGTAATTTAAACAAAAAATTTCAAAAATTTAACTTTACCTGTTCAAAAATGTTTTTTTCATCATATCCCATTTTTCTTTTAACCTTGCAACTTGACCACCTAAAAATACAAATTTACCATGCTCTAGTAAAATTACACCATTTAAAATGTTTGTTGATCCCAAAAGACAAACTTTACTTCCAGGAACTAAGACATCTGTATTAATATCTAATAAGCGAGAATACTCAATGGCAACACAATTTAATTTGCCATCTGTTAAAGTTAGTTTTAATAAACGAGGTGCAGATGATGATTCTTGATTAATTGCTGGTGCTGATATATTGCTTTGCTTATGAACTTGCAGTACAATAGGTCCATTTATAAACGTACATTGTCCACTGCTTATGTTTTCTGGTAGTGCATTATCCCCAATATGGTGAAGATCATGGTTTAATGCAATTTTTATTATATCATTGACTTGAGAATGACTGGTTTTTAAATCTAAAGCAGCAATGCAGCATTTAAATCCATTTTCACTCAAGTACCACCCTCTATTCTTCAGTTCTTCCATACCAAAAACACCAAAATATTATAAACTAGAATACCGAAAACTATAAATTATGACAACTATGTACCTAGTACCTGAAAATTAAAGAATTCCAATGTTGTAACAATATTATTAGTTGAATAACAACTAAACAATAATAAATAGTACTTTAATTTTAAAAAATATCTTAAATTTTCCTAATAGTTACAAAAATTTTTAATAAAAAATGCTAAGTTTAATCTTATAATATTAGTTAAAAATACATTAAAGATGAGCTCATTCTATGTTAAGTAAAATAAATGCCATCACGAACCATCCTGGATTTAGATAAAACTTTTTATTATTTAATTTTGATTATTGCAAATAATAATGCAATAATGAACAAATCCAAAAAATTATTACAAATGCAAATTTTAATTTTAGCATAAATTTTTAATATGATCTTAAAATTTTGGCGATTCTTGAGAAACAGTTTTTTGAAATTTGGAACTTACAGCAAATATTGTAAAAATAAGTAGCATAGCCAAAAAAAAAAATTTTTTGGTACTTTAAAGCACTTTAATTTGAATTTTTTAATCTTTTTTTAACTAATATTATAAGTTTAATCTTATAATATTAGTTAAAAATACATTAAAGATGAGCTCATTCTATGTTAAGTAAAATAAATGCCATCACGAACCATCCTGGATTTAGATAAAACTTTTTATTATTTAATTTTGATTATTGCAAATAATAATGCGATAATGAACAAATCCAAAAAATTATTACAAACGCAAATTTTAATTTTAGCATAAATTTTTAATATGATCTTAAAATTTTGGCGATTCTTGAGAAACAGTTTTTTGAAATTTGGAACTTACAGCAAATATTGTAAAAATAAGTAGCATAGCCAAAAAACAAAAATTTTTTGGTACTTTAAAGCACTTTAATTTGAATTTTTTAATTAAGTAATATTTCATTAATAATGGTTGCTACAGATGTCTTTAAATTAATTCATGATATTATTATTTAATAACATATATTTAATTTGCATGTAATATGGTTTCTGTTAACATTTTTTTTTTTGACAAAATCTTCCACTCCAATAGCCATAAAGTATTTTGGAGAGCTTTATGTGCCACAGAAAAACAGTAACATTTGGTCATTTAAAATGTAAAACTGGTGCAGTAACATATAATTACACAACATATAAAAAATTATTTGCTTGGTCTAGGAAGGATAAGTTTTAAACTCATTTTACCTAAAGAAGCAAGCTGGCTCAGCTAGTAAACTATGTAAACATTTTTAAAATTTTATGAAACAAACTATAATATTATCAATAATATAATATTAAATATTACTATTTCTACTAGAAGTAATATTATTGATAATATCAGTAATACTACTAATTTTAATTTTAAAAATATTAATATTATAAACAACTATACTAAAAAAAAATTTTTGTACTATTTAATCAAATTAAAAATTTTTAAGCAAGATCCATCCCATTTAAATAACATTCAATAAACAAAAATTACTTTGTTAAATTAAATTACTCATATATATGTTTTTATTGCATAACATATCATCGGTATACAAGCCTTGAATACCGACAATATGACGATATGTACCTTGTAACAAGGTAAATGCACCAAGTCCATTTTTGGCAGTATGGAATTATTTATACCACTACTTGTACTATAAACTATAATATAGCCTATAAAGATTAAGATGTATGATGGAGTACTTATATATACAAAATATAATATAGTATGTTATGCTTTTTTATTCAAAATATATGAATAATAGAATATTGTTTTGAACAAAAATTTTATGCTTACTAAATAAAATTTAATAAAGTTTTTTAAATTAAAAATTTTTTATGGTTAAGCTGTAAAATTTTTATCATTTAAACCTATAATTCATAGTCTTTTTTATTATTTCGCCAGGTTTAAAATTAAATAAGACCTACACTATAGGTCTATACTATAGTATGGTATTATAGGCTATAGTAATATGGTACAATAGGCTATAGTAATAATAAAACTTTCATGTTTTAGATCTCTAATATTATTATAAAACTTTCATTCTTTAAATCTATAATATTATTATAGATTTAAAACATGAAAGTTTAATAATTCAACCGTGAAAAGTTTCTTTAGGTAAAAAACCTATTTTAAACTATTTTCTTTTTGGAGTCAATATTATTGTTCGCGCATGCATTTGAATTCATATTATCGTAGGTGCATACAATTGAAATCAATTCAAATCATTGTACGCGCATACTAATGAAATACAATTCAAATTAATTGTATGCGCGTAATTCTTTCGAAAGTATCATTACCATAAATTACTTTGGGGTAAAAATGAGTTAAGCACGGAATCGTGCTAGATACAAGTTCCTTTAACAAATCACATTTGTTAGGTCTTTCATTACGCCTTAGATTGCGAGCTTGAATAACAGTTGATTTCAGAAACACACTAAGTCACTGACTTAGTGTGTATCTGAAATCAACTGTTTTTCTATGGAACAGCTAACGTAGCCCAATCTAGAATCACAAATCAGCGCGAATAGAAGTTGTAATGATTACACAACCAATTTTCTTTCGAATAATCGCATGCAATATTTATTTTTAATAATCATTAACTATTGTAACGCAAGCAATTCCTTTTGGACCATCAGTTGTGAAAACATCTTTAGAAAACCAACCCAGTCGGCAAAATTTACTTTTTTTTACGTGTCGTGTCGCGAGAACGTGAATTTGACGGGATACGAAAACGCGTGATAATAACCCAAATTATTTCGGAATTTTTTGACTTTCACCTCGTTTTATTGGAAAGTATTTTTCACGAGAATAATACTAGTTTTAAAGCGTAAATGCAACGTCTTAAAATGAATTAAAACTAGTTTCAAAACCTAATTTTAACGTGTAATTTTCGAGTTATTCATGCAGCAAAAAGGATTTTTTATATAGTTTAAAGACTTGTATAAATATTAAATGGAATCAGTGAAATTTACAATTTTTGTTTTATGTATAATTTATGTGTCTTTTAGTTCTAACTAAGAAGGCTATAACTAAGAATAAGAACCCAATACTGTATGCTAGAAGGTTAATAATTTCTGCTGTTTACCATTCATAACAGCATGTTAAACAGCAGCAATCATGTCTACCTACAATTTTATACTTTATATTTTTTAAGCAAGATACCAATTTGTACAAATACTGCATGAACTATTAACTGAGTGCTGAAAGTACACAAAAACTCAGGGGCTTCTTCTAGACTTATATTATACTTAAAAGCTATTATTGCATAAATTATGATTAAAATATTTTAAAGTGTCACTTATATTGGTAAAAAAAAAACAGTTCTGAATTATAGTTATTTATAATAACTTTTAAAACAAATAAAAAGTAAATAATCATATCTTATAACTTAAAAGATAATCACTCAGTACAATCGGTGATGAAAATACATGTAAAAATATATTTGTTTGAAAAAAATGTATTTATTAAATTTTTAATATACAAATATTCAAAACACCTCTTTGAAATATCTCTTTAATTAAAGTTATATATAATGTTTACCTGTTGTTAAGAATTATGGATATATGTTATAGTTTGCTGACTTTTTTATATTATTAAACTGTATGTTGCAGTTAAATAATTTTATATGTATGCTGATGAGTTTATTCGCATAAAAGCTTGATTACATGACATATTAAATTCAAGAAACCTATTTGCCAATGGATACAAGTCAGCATTGTGTGCATGTAACAAGACTCTTTGTTTTCCATTTCTTGACATGGCATATAATTATATCAATAGTCTTAAAGAGATTAATTGGTACGCAAATAATCTTGTATAGTCTAAAAACTGATTTCATTAGATATTTGGTAGCAGTTAAATCTGTTTAAAATATATATCTCCACTGAGAAGAAAAAGAAAGTTCACCATAAAATCATTTAACATATAAACTCAGTCAAAACCATGTAACAAGCTCTTTATTGTGCTGTGAGATCTTATTTAGCTAAGAGATCTGCAAGAATGTTTAACAACAATATCAAATGCCAACAACTAACAGCCATATATAAACAAACGGAAACTGCAGCATCAGAGATCAAATTCATATTTTCAAAGCTTTAGATTCTTTTTTTTTTTGCTCACTCCAGTACTAAAATATCTGACTGAAATTGAATTAATAAGAAAGTATGATTTGATGGAGAGTAAACCAACTAATAGTGACCACGATTATGCAGATATTCCAAATTGCACCATTCAAAAAAACATTGATCTTATACAGTCAGATACGTAGCTAAAATGACATTAAAATAAAGTTATCTGTATTAAATATATGTATATATATATATACATATATATATATATATATATATATATATATATATATATATATATATATATATATATATATATATATATATATATATATATATATAAAATTCTAGAAGGAACCTCTGAGTTGTGTGTACTTACAGAGCTCAGCTAATAGTTCATGCAGCATTTGTAAATTTGTGATATCTATTTGAAAAACTAATTTATAATAGTTTATTTTAAAAAGATATTCAGCTGCCTACCATGCAGTTTTGTTATTAACCTTCTAGCACACAGCATTGGGTAGTTAAGAACTAAAAGTAGGTATGTGACATGAAATTTTTAAATTTACAAAATATTATATTGTTATATATCGTTAAAAAGAGCATTAATACAGTATTTCAACGGTGAAAAAATTATCAAAATCGAACAATTCAAAAAAAAGTTATGAGGTTTTTAGTGACAATTTTTGAATATATGAAATTGTTAAAGAAACTGTGGTCAAAATAATTTTTTTTGTATCGAAAATGGTTATAACTATGCAAATTCTTGTTGAAATTTCTATAATTTGGTATCAAAAGAAAGATGTAAGAGTGGGCTACAATTTTATAGTAGCATCTTGCCATAGGGCGTAAGTGGACGGCTAGAGGGGGCCCCGAACTACGACTTTTACCACCAAAAAATTGAATATTCTATCATAAAAAAGTATTTTAATACTGAAAATTGTCTTTTTTATCAAACAGAAGTTCCAATATTTAGATCCCAGCTCACCACCATATATGAGATGTACCTTTGAGTTAGGGGTGGATGTGGTGGTGC